CTCTGAAGAAAATGATAGATTTAGTTTCACCCCAGTCTCTTGTTCAGAAATAAGGAACATCATATTAGCTATGCCGTCAAACAAATCACCCGGCAAAGACAAAGTGAGTATGCGTGTCATCAAACACAGCCTACCGGTAATTCTTGGGCCCCTCACCGATATCATTAACTGTTCACTGTCGTCATCTTCGTTCCCTATAGCATGGAAAGAGGCAGAAGTTATCCCTTTGTTAAAGGATGGAAACCACGAGAAAGCATCAAATAACCGCCCACTTTCTCTCCTTACCTTTCTTTCAAAAATTTGTGAAAAAGTCGCCTTGAATCAATTTGGTTCGTATCTAATGAAGAACAAAAAATTGTCAACCCACCAGAGCGGGAACAAGAAACATCACTCATGCGAAACATTGAATCTTTTGACCGGAGATACTATCCTAAAGGCCATGGATGGGAAAGTGGTTACTGCACTGATTCTAATAGATCTATCTAAAGCTTTCGACAGTGTAAATCATACTTTTCTCCTTACAAAACTTAGCAACGTCGGGGCTTCTCCAAGCGTTGTAAAATGGTTTGAGAGTTACTTGACCGGAAGAACTCAATCAGTCAGAATTGGATTTACTGTGTCTACTCCTCTCCCTGTTTTTTATGGTGTACCACAGGGTGCAATTTTATCACCTTTACTTTTTAGTATTTATACTAACGATTTGCCCTCATCAGTCCACCATAGTAAACTTGAATCGTACGTGGACGACTCCAAGATATTACTATCTTTCACTGTGGCTAACGTGGACTGTTTAAAACAACAACTTGAGGAAGACTTGTATTTGATTGCAAACAGTTGTTCCGAAAATGAATTGCTTATTAACCCGGGAAAGACCAAATACATGCTGATTGGCACACGGCAAAACCTACAACAACTTCCCGTAGATATGACCATAAACTTCCTTAACGAGACTATTACCCCCGTCTCCTTTGCCAAAGATCTAGGAATGACAATCGACTCTTATTTGACATATGAACAGCATATCACCAACCTGGTTTCCTCGGCACTTGTAATGAACAAAATGTTCTATTGTTCAACGGTTTGGTCAAACACTTCGTCTACCAACATTAAGAAACTACAGTTGGTACAAAATTTTGCATGCAGGATAATAACAAATATTGGAAAGTTCGACCATATTTCGCCAGGCTTACGTGAACTTAACTGGCTCCCAGTAAAGGAACAATTACTACTAAGAGAGGCTATTATGATGTACAAATGTGTCAATGAACTTGCTCCACATTATTTGAGCGATTTATTCACAAAACGTTCTGACATTCATCAACGAGATACACGTAGCCATGACTCACTGCAAATACCATTGTACAAAACTTCTGCAGGTCAAAGGTCCTTTCATTATAGAGGCGTTACACTCTGGAATGATTTGGACATAAAGTACAAAAAGTTAGACTCCCTAAAAACTTTCAAAAACGATCTGAAGCGAAGCATGCTAGAACAAATATATAAGTAGATAATTTTACCTTGTTAAACTTTATACAAATGTCTTACCTTTTTACCTTATTTTAAATTCTAGATTCTAAAACTTGTAAATAGAACAACATTTATTTTTGTAAATCAGTGTTGAAAATCCCTATTTAGGGAACACAATAAAGTATGTATGTATGTATGTATGTACATTCAGAAAACATTCCGTATATTCCTATGTGGAAAGTTGACAATAAATGTTGGAAACGACTAATTTTAGCGTTGTCTTGGTTTGTTTTTAAATTTATCGCGGGCTCGAAAAAGCGCGATTAATTAATAAATTTAATGGTAAAAATCAGGCCTTATGGTGTAGGAAATTAAAAAACATTGACTGCAAACGCATTTTACCGATTGCATAATGGACAGAATTTAGAAAGAAGCTGAAGTAAGAAAATCAATTACCGCAGCAATAAAAAGGCCCGTTCACACGAGCTATTTTTTGCTGCGATTTCTTCCTTTTGATAGATGTGAACGAGTGGATTAACTAGCGTGGTTGACTGGTGTGGTTGAGAGGCGTGGTTGAGAAGCGGTGGTTGAGAGCGTGGTTGAGAAGCACTGTTGAGGAGCGTGGTTGAGAAACATGTTTGAGTGGCGTGGTTGAGATGCGTGGTTGCGAGCGTGGTCGAGAAGCATATGCATAGATGAGAAGCGTGGTTGAGGAGCGTGGTTGAGAAGCATGGTTAAGAAGCGTGGTTGAGAAGCGTGGTTGCGAGCGTGGTTGAGAAGCATATGCATGGTTGAGGAGCGTGGTTGAGAAGCGTGGTTGAGGACCAAAGTTCTAAATATTGTTCCCTATGTAAATGCCATCATAAAAAGGCGTTCACTGCACACAACAATTTCTGCCGCAAAATGCCGCCAAAACGCACGAAATGAATTCGATTCTAAACCCTTACAAAACTGCAGTTTAACGCCTTGCCCAGGGCGTTGTTTATGTATGCCTGCGTGTACAACTCAAATGACAGCCTAATTATAAAAACATACAAAAAAAAGATGTTTGGTTTGTTACAACTGTCAGAAAGAAATAGGCTAGGGTAAGAGAACGATTTGTGAGCGGGTTATTAATAAATAACCCACACTCAACGCCTAATCTGACCCTAACCTATTTTTTCCAAACACTTTTCTAAACAAGTTGAAACAAAATGTTTGGTTCGTTACAACCCTGGGAAATAAATAGGTTCGGGTCAGAGTACGGTTTGGGTGAGGGTTATTAGTAAATAACCCTCACCCAACGCCTAATCTGACCCTAACCTATTTTTTCCAAACACTTTTCTAAACTAGTTGAAACAAAATGTTTGGTTCGTTACAACCCTGGGAAGTAAATAGGTTAGGGTCAGAGTACGGTTTGGGTGAGGGTTATTAGTAAATAACCCACACCCAACGCCTAATCTGACCCTAACCGATTTTGTCCAAATACTTTTCTAAAGCAGTTGAAACAAAATGTTTGCTTGTTACAACTGTCAAAATGAAATAAGTTAGGGTCAGAGGACGGTTTGGGTCAAGGTTATTACTTCAATGATCCCGACCCAAATCGTAATTCTGACCCTAACCTGTTTTGTAAATACTTTTGTAAACCAGTGGAAACAAAATGTTTCGTTCCTTCAAATAGTCGACGTTATTAAAAATGTTCTACACAAAATTTTCTAAGTGTCGAGTGCATTTAATTTTGACAGAAGACGACCGGCTATCGGCTACCCAATACAAATACTAGTAAAATCGACCGGCTACCAACCGGCTACCATGCGAAATGACCGGCTACGAGTTGGCGGTAGCCGGTCGTGAAAAATTTTCTAAGTGTCCACTTTATCTATACTGTTGAATGCATTTTGTTGTAATAGCACCATTACTGTGTACAAATTTGAGTTTATAACCAAATAAATACAAACAGTAAGGCGACAGCAGGATTTGGGTAAACTTATTACTTCAATGATCCACATCGAAACCGTAACTCGTGTTTTACTAGTATTTGTATTGGGTAGCCGGTAGCCGGTCGTCTTCTGTCAAAATGAAATGCACTCGACACTTAGAAAATTTTTCACGACCGGCTACCGCCAACTCGTAGCCGGTCATTTCGCATGGTAGCCGGTTGGTAGCCGGTCGATTTTACTAGTATTTGTATTGGGTAGCCGGTAGCCGGTCGTCTTCTGTCAAAATTAAATGCACTCGACACTTAGAAAATTTTGTGCAGAAAATTTTTAATAACGTCGACTATTTGAACGAACGAAACATTTTGTTTCCACCGGTTTACAAAAGTATTTACAAAACAGGTTAGGGTCAGAATTACGATTTGGGTCGGGATGATTGAAGTAATAACCTTGACCCAAACCGTTGTCTGACCCTAACCTATTTCATTTTGACAGTTGTAACAAGCAAACATTTTGTTTCAACTGCTTTATAAAAGTATTTGGACAAAATAGGTTAGGGTCAGATTAGGCGTTGGGTGAGGGTTATTTACTAATAACCCTCACCCAAACCG